TGATCGGCGTGATCGCAAGAACACAGCCAAAAACATCTCCCATGAATGACAATATAAAATACAATAGATATTCCTAATGTACGGCTAAGTTCATGTGCCAAGCAAATCCAAATTTCTTAACCTAGACCAGTAAAATTGAAAGATGATTTCTAATCTTTTTTTTTTTTACAATTTTCCCTCATGGATCTGATAGAATGTTAGTTTTTTATGCAAATTATACATGACAGGGGTCATAGAGGAGGTATCAAAAAATGAGGGGCGTTTAAAAGATTTCTCCAAAAGTGAGGAATGACAATGGCCATGGATCTGATAGGATTCCCGTCGGTGAATCCGAAGAATCTAAGTCGCTGAGGGATGACAATGGCCATGGTACCCACACATCGACTACGGTCGTTGGGTATGTCGTCTGACGACACCAACCTATTTGGCTATGCTGCCGGGGTGGCTACACGTGCAAGAGTTGTTGTCTACAAAGTATGCTGGATTGGCAGTTGCTTCAGCGCCAATATCTTGGCCGCGATGGAAAAAGCCATCGATAACGGAGTTCCTTCGCCATCCCCTTTGACACCACACAAAGCAGATGAACTGCCACTGCGACCACCACAGTGAAGTATATGCGGACACTGATGAACGTGGGCACTCCGGCGTGTTTGTGACATCGCAGGTGGAGTCGGTGCTTGAATTCGTTGGCCTTCAGTCAACCAAATGAGAAGAAAAACGTATACGGTGACATTTAGCGGGGGTTCGATGCCATTGGAGACGACTAGCTTCGCTCATCTCGAGTGGTTGGACGGGAAGCACATTGTGGGTAGTCTTATTGCCTTTAGTTGGACGTGATTGCTTGGAGAGCAGAGGGAAGAAATGACAGCTTTGGTTCATCATTCGCCTGGACGTGATTGCTTGGAGAGCAGGGGGAAGAAACAACAGATTTGGTTCATCATTCGCCCAAAAGTTGTTTAATTAATATTAACATATTTATGTTTCTGCTTTTGGTTTCTAGCAATCAAACAAAGCATGTTAAGTTATATTGTTCTATATTGTCACAAGGAAAAACTTAATTAGGAGAAAAAAAGAACCAGAAAAAGTCGTCTATGCACCCTTCCTTGGACGTTGAGAGCAAGAATACCCTTTTTTGATGTTGAGAACAAGAACACTATGAGTTGAGAGGTGGACTCACCATTTAGGGGTAGTTTAGTCATGAAATATGCATTTAGGTTGATGTGGACAATGAACTTTAAGGTGTTTTAACGGATTATGAGTTTTATAAAATAAAACCTCACTTACATGGTGAGTTTTGGACATTTTGAAAAGTTATGGTAAGTTTAAGAATATTCATAAAAAGTGATGATGGGTTTTGGACAATTTCCCTAATTGTTATTATTGATAAAACTAAAAATTATAAATTTAACCCATTTAAATAATATTTAAAATTTATAAAAAAAATAATTTTGTTAATCAATAATTATGATAAATTTATAATAATTTTTATTAATTTAAAGTCCGGTTAAATTGCTATTATTATAAATAAAATTAATTTATAGTAAAATCGGTTTTATAAAAGCTTTATAGTATGCCCAAAGCCTAACCTGGCCCATAATCACACTTAATTAAGAATGTCATATGGTTCTTTCCATTTCATTTTCTCAGAAAAACAATGTCCATAGAACCAGACCGGTCATAAAACCAAAGAAGGGAGAGGTTCAATTGGGGTCAAAATGTGATGGTGTGACATATATGCATGTATACTGTGGATTATATAAATACTATATATAATATATTTTATAATTTTTAGCATTTTTAAATATGATGAATAGATGGCAAATTTCTTAGCTTTTAAGGCAAATAATCAATGTATATTCTATTAATTTACATTTTCTTTAAAATGTGTATAACAAATTAATATATACAATAAAGAATCATTAAATGATATAAGTAAATAGATGGATTAATGGTAATTAGGGTTCCAAGTCTTATCACACTCATCTTATAATTCCAATTACGTAGTGACCCAGCCAATTTTATAAAACCATGATTGTTTTTTTGTTAAACTATACGGTTATTAGTGTGTAGCTAAACTGGCAAGGACTATGGGTCATTGTTCAACTGGTTTGACCAGCCAGTCCCGATTCGGATTTGTAAACACTGCTAAAAAAGTCCATACATGATAAAAATAGAGCATAGGAAAAATATGAATGCTAACCTAATAACCCATACATCGATTTCCATCTTAAATTAATAGCTATTTGTTTTTCAAAATGCATCGCAGAAAAATACAATTGAAATATCGTGACATGGGTAGAGTTGCTATCAGGTTGAACCCGGTTGGGTAGGTTGGCACAGGTTTGATTTAATCCTAACCCGATCTTTCCATGCTTCCACTTAAACCCAACGTAGTTTTGGTTTTTTTTTTTTTTTTTTAACTTGGCTTGGCTTATAGGGTTCAACTTTATACCAATTACTGACCCAACATGTGTCGTAGTTTTTTAATTGTATTTTTGTGATACTTCTTGGGAACTTAAGAGCCATTAATTTAAGTTAAAAATTGGTGTTATCCAAAACATGAACCCAATTTAAGTTAAATAATAAAAACTCTAACATAATCCTACACCCGATTTTTGTTTAAAACAAACACTAAAAGAAATCCTAAACTTTTAAGGTTAGTGGTTAGAAGTTACACCAGATTACAAGAATATCCTCTGTATGTGTAGGGATATTATGACCGGATGGGCTAAGCCAGCCAAACCTGTGCCCGATTTGAATTAAATAGTCAAAACCCTAACCTCACACTAACCTAACCATGTAGGGGTGAGTCAACTTCACTCGTTGGCATCCTTATACAAAATTAGCCACTCTCACTAGGGTTTCAATTTGGATTGTGGCAAGAACAACTAAATATAACTCAAAAGTAAAATAATTGTATTAGCTCTGATTAACTTGTCTTAATTAAAAATATCATAAGACGCCTTATACATTGATTTTGCATAACAAGGCCCATGCATCGCATGTGTCTGATTAGTATATCTATACTACATATAAAAGTTTGGATGAAGAGTGTAAGTTTTTTTTGGAATACAATTATTAATTTACCATTTATTTTTTGATTGAGAAAGGGTATAAAAGTTGTTTTGTTATAGCTGTAATGCTATGTTCAATGGCTACTAAAATGCCTATATTAACTCATATTTTATCTTATTTAACCATATATTTAAGTTATTTTTCACTAATAAATGTTATTAATTAGGTATATGTAACAAGATTTCTTTTTTATAATGAAAATGAAATACATAATTTAGAACTAACAAAAATTAAATTATTTTATTATTTGGAAAAGATCAATAATTCAACTTTTGGGTCAAATGCATATTAATGTCATAAATAAACAATAAAAATACAAAAACAAAAAATACATAAATTTTGCAAAAAAAAAAAAAATCCAGTCACATGTATAGTATCATATATTTATCATATTAAACAAAAAAGTAAGTGTGACATATCAAAATTACTTTTTACTCACATAAATAAAAAATTATAGAAATACTGAACACAACTATAATTTTATATTCACACTAATATTAAAAACATGAATGAGATTGTGTAACTTTTTTTGACTAAAATACTCAATTTTAATTTAGTATATATTTAATTGCAAGGTTTAAATTAAATCGCACTACTATTTTTCACCTCATTCAATTCCATCTATTTAAATCTTACATGTTTTTTGATAAATGAACTAAAAAAAATAAACAAAAAAAATGTAAAACATTGCAAAAAGAATAATATAGCCAAGTAGGTTGACCTATCAATGATATTTTTTTCTTTTTTCTTTTTTTGTAAAGCATATCAATGATGCTCGAAACTTCACAATTGGATCTAATTATCACATTTTTAAGTCAAGATGTTTATATAATCAATTTTGGATTTTACAATATGATGTAGCACAATCTGGTTGCTCCCTTGTGTCAAGTGATTCAAACATTGATTCGGATGGTACCTTGTTACGGCTGAGTTGTAGATGGGCGAGCTGTTATGTTCTGCAAGAAAGAGAGTTAGAGTGTTTGGGCCGTCTTTACCTGGGATGGGCACTCTGATGCTTAAGTCAATTAATATCTTTTAAATCTTTTAGAAAACGAGAGAGCTTGAGAATTTGTAATTGTGCATACATTCTCAGGTAGAAATGAAGACATTTTATAGGTGTGAGTGGTTTGAGCCCTTTTACAACTAGTCTCACATTTTAGCGGAGCCGTTTCCACTTGGTCGGGTGAGTTATTACTTCGGTTACGAGATTTGCGTGGGGTTACGATCCGGTCGAATAACTTATATGCGTACGATGCAATAGGGCAGTCTAACGGTCGAGGCACTAATGCTCTTGAGATTTTGGACCGGTAATGTATCTTTGAGACAAGTCAGTAGGCTTGCTTGGCAGGTTGCCAATAAATTCCTACAACTTGGCCCGATCAAGGTGGAGGCCAGCTTGCACGAGGTGCTTTAGGCCAACTTGCCAAACTGGTTCACTTACTCACTGCCAAGGTGTTGCTTGAAGGTCACACAACGCAATGTGATTCGGATGACCAAATTACCCCTCATCACAATCTATATCCGATTAATAGTAAAATATATATATATATATATATATATATTTATAAAAGTTTTCGAATATTCATATCGGATGTCAGATCCATGCTCCACGTTGTTATGCATGTTTTAGACGGACATCCAATGGAGAGGCCACACGAAGATTAATAAAGCACTGAAGTACGTGATAGGTGATACCTCCTATTCGAGAAATCAATTCGAAATACACGAATGGCGGAAAAGAGCCCGCCGAGCCTCCCTCCTCTCATGTCTGGAGCCCCATCGAGGCCCGCGAAGCGGTTTTGTAATCTTTTCGTCCAAATTCCGAAATTCGGAATTTCAAATTTTGAACATGAACAGTCAACGAAATTTATGTCCCGAAACCCCAACAAAAAAAATAGAAAGAAGCCCGAAACGGTCGTAGAAACCGCGCAAGTAAATTTTTGAAACGACAAAAATGGCGGCATCGACGTGCTGATTCTATCTGCGTGAGTTCAGTACAAAGGTCCTCTCAGTTAGCACAAATGAACTCGCCCTTCTCTCTATCGTTCTCTACTACTCTTCGCATTTGCCAAGCTCTAATTCTAACACTAAGCTCAAGTCGCCCGACGACCATGGCCGACCAGGAGAACTGCATGCGCATCACCCGCGCAGCGAAGAAGAGGGCCGCCGCTGCTATGGCCGCAGCACAGTCTATTCAATTTCCTGCGAACAAGAAGCGAGTTGTTCTTGGAGAGCTCACGAACTTGTCGAACGTTGTATCCGTTCAGACTTCGGGGCTTGAACGCCGGAAGTCCAAAGGTAGATTGAAGAAGAAGGAACAGAAACCGGTGGTGCCGGACATTGACACGGATTCTGATGACCCCCAAATGTGTGCTCATTATGCGTATGATATATATGAATATCTTCGCACCATGGAGGTAAGATAGGGTCTCGGCTGCGTTTTTGGAGATTGAGTTGACATTTTCAGTCCTGGGTTTTGATTGTTATCTCATCTGGGAGGTTGGATTGTTGTTGTTTAAGTAATTAGATTGAGGGTTTCGGTCTTACATTTCCATTTGACTCTATCGATGTTATTTGGATATGGGTTTCAAAACTTTAGCTTGATTTGGGGGACGAGTACTCCAGGTTGGATCTAGGGGTTTCAGTTTATTCAATTCTGACCAATTGGGATTTGATATGGTTTCTGCAAATTCACACGAAATGTTTTCTATTTTAGATGGAAGAAAAAAGGAGGCCATTGCCCGACTACATTGAGAAAATTCAGAAGGATATTACAGCCAATATGCGAGGGATTCTGGTGGATTGGTTGGTTGAGGTTGCAGAGGAATACAAGCTAGTGCCCGACACCCTTTATCTCACAGTCTCCTACATTGACAGATTTCTATCATCGCATGCTCTTAATAGGCAGAGGCTACAGCTTTTGGGTGTTTCTTGCATGCTAATTGCCTCGTAAGCACGTTAGACTTCATTTTTTTTAAACATTTCTTATCATCAGTTATTGATGGCTAATGTTTTCTCTTAAATGATAATCCACTTTATTTTCGGCTTACTCTTGTTTCCTTCTTTTATCTGACTACTAAATGGGGTGGTTCTGATTCTCATACTATTTATCCTTCTCTTGGTTGGTGATATAGGAAGTACGAAGAAATCAGTCCTCCACATGTTGAAGATTTTTGTTATATAACAGATAATACTTACACCAAGGAAGAGGTGCTGCTCCTTTTCTTTTGTTTGTCTCCGTTTTATATGTTTTAGATCTGCTTCCTTTTTTTTTTTCGTTCAATCTTGCATCTTACTAAAGTTTGTGAGTGGCTTGTAATTGCATCGTAGGTGGTGAAGATGGAGTCAGATGTACTCAATCTTCTGAAGTTTGAGATGGGCAATCCCACGATCAAGACTTTTCTCAGGTAGAAACACTCTTCTAATATTCTCTTTTAATTTGTTTTCCTCTTTCGTTTCTAGAAAAAATCTCAACTACTTCACAAGAGGCCTATGGAAAAGCTCAGCTATATGTGTTATTATTTGTTATGTCAATGCACTGATTGTAGTTCTCTCTTTTTTGGTCGGCTTGCAGAAGATTTACAAGGGCTGCTCAAGAGGATAAAAAAGTAAGGAAGTTTTGATCGTCTTTTTTTTTTTTTTTTTAATTTTCCTGATTGGCTCTTTTTGCTTTGGTGTTTCTATTCTGCAGCATATGAGTTCTAATTATGGTTTATGTTTTGTTTGGTTATTTCTCTGCAGTTTCCGAATTTGCAATTGGAGTTCTTGGGGTGTTATCTAGCAGAATTAAGCTTGCTGGATTGTAGTTGTCTACGGTTCTTGCCATCACTTGTTGCTGCTTCAGTTGTATTTCTTTCAAGATTCACAATCCAACCAAAGATGCACCCTTGGGTAATAGCTCGACCATACACCTTTTTTATTTGCTGTGTTGTTACTTTGTGGTAGAAAATTAATAAATATGTACACATTCTACAGAACTCAACCCTGCAACATTATTCGGGTTATAAACCTTCAGATCTAAAGGATTGTGTCATTGCTATACAAGATTTGCAATTGAATAGAAGAGGAGGTTCTTTAATAGCAGTTAAAGATAAATACAAGCAGCATAAGGTATGCTTTCTCTTACCCTTTGGTAATGGTTTCCTGGTGGTGGCCATCTCTTGAGGAAGAGATCTGATTCTATTTTGATGCACTGGTGAACAGTTCAAATGTGTAGCTACATTGTCTTCTCCTCCAGAGATTCCTACTCACTACTTTGAAGACATCAAAGAGTAAACAAAAGATATGGTTCTTGAGTCTGATCTGATGACTTGTAAGATGTAATATACTTTGGTGCCGGGAAAAAGAATTCTTGAAGACTATTTGTTCAACCTGGCATTTTTTGGTCTTCTCCTGCCCATTTGGTCAAATGCTGAAGTGCTTTAAATGGGTTGATGGCCTAGAGATGGTGAGATCTCTTGAACTCATGAGATCTAAAGCTGCAAAAATATCTCCTGGAATGCACTTCCTCAAACAGAAACTCTTGATTAATTTAGGATTAGTTGGTAGATCATGTTGATACACATTGATACTTTGTATCTTCTGGTTAGTCCTTTATTTGGAATTTTAGGATCATGAATTTGTAACCACGAATCTTTCTATTTTTTCATTTGTTTTCCTTGTTCTGACATTCACATGTAAGAGCACAAAGTTCTAAATCTTTTCTTGGTAAAGAATTTTTTATACCATCTTACATAACTTTTCTTGGTTCTTTAGTTGGTAATTTTCTCGTGTTTGCCCAAGGAAATCATCAAGTTGCGGATTGGTTCCAATTGCGTTATTGTATATCTTTAGTAGTGATTCTTGGGACCGAGCTACCCCCACCTTGTGTAGATCCTCTTGCTTTACCCAAAAAAAGATCAGAAGAATCCGAGTGATAATATATTATATGCTTGGCATCGATGCTGCTGATACAACACTGTTTTCTGCTGATGTGTGGGTTGGAACTTGGAAGCACTATTTTCTTGGAAAATGGTGGTCTTTTTTTTTGTTTGGAAACATTGCTGCCAGGTATGATGTTTCTTGGAGTAACAACACTTTCTGTTTGGTACCATTGTTCCATTTTTGTTTTCAACATTGGTACCCATTATAGGAAGTCCATGTCATTGCTACATCATGTCATCATTGGCAGCAACAAGCTGCAATCTGGGAAAATGTCAAATTCGGTGTTGCTCCAAACCATGCTTTCTTGATTTTTAAGGTGTGGCTTGGAGCACCATTTTTTATGGAAAATTGGTTCCAAACAAATAGTTGTTTCTTGGAGTATTGTTTTTTCCAATATGGTGCTGATGTGTCACTATTTTCTGGAGCAATGGCATTGATGCCAAACAGATGCATAGTCATATGTGATGAATCTTAGTTAATCTTACCTCCCCACATGGGGATTAGGTCTGACCTAACTTGTTTTAGATTGCACCTAGACAAGCACCATTGGTATTCCTTGAATAAAGCCCATAAGTGATTGGAATTTTTTGTGTTCATGCAAATTATTAATCTCGAGTTCCTCTAGATCTTATCAGACACCTTCCACGTTGAGAAAACTTTGGCTGTTCATTTGCTCTTTGGGGATGTTCCTTTTAGGTCCCATTTGTTTTTTGGTAAGTTACTTACTTGGGTAAGTTTTTCTTGGGAAACACTTATCCAAATAAGTGTATTTACCCATGTTCTTTTATTTCTTAGGTAAGGGGCATTTTTGTCCCATTCAAGTGTTAACAACTTTCCCTTAGATGGTAAAGTTATTTACCCACCTAGGATATGGGTATCTAGGAAAATAAACTTTTCTTGGTCCCCACATTAATCTTAAAATTGAACATGGAATTCTTGGTCAATGGGGGAACCAAAATCCCATTGACTAACTTTCTCCCCTCTCAAAATCCAAAAAAAGAACGCCCCCTGAATAGTGGATGTTAAAGTAGGTGTTTGGCATTGATGCTTTTGCCGCATAGGCTGTTTTTTGGAAAACATCAATGGTTTTGTTTGGTACTAATGTTATATAACTTTTTTCAGCATTAGTCCACATTATCCAATGTTCAAGATGATGCCACATTGATGCCATGTCATTGTACCACTGGCAGCAATAGTCTATTTTTTGAATTGAATTTGGTGTTTCTTCTGACCATACTTTTTTGATTTAAAAGGTATGGTTTGGAGCAATGTTTTTTTTTTTTTTTTTTTTTTTATAAAAATGATGCCAAATAAGAGGCTATTTTTTGAAACACAACTTTTTTTTTTGATGTGGCACCAGCATTGATACCAAAGAGGCAAACACTACTAAAGCCATCTCGTCTCATTGTTTTTAAGGGTCATTTACTTCAATACTCGCTATACTTTCATGTATTTATTAAAATTTAGCCTATAATTTTATATATTATTAAAACACCCCATAGTTTATAATTCTAAAAACACTTTTTATGAACCATTTGTATTTCCATTTGTGAAGCATAGATCCAAGGTTTTTTATTTCAAATATACCCATAAAAGTTGTCATATCAATATAATCCATTCCTTTTCGAAACAAAGATATAAGGGTAAATTATAAATAGGTATCTTATACTTTGGAGGTAGTGATTGATAACTTAAGTGCCTTGGGTCCATCCGTTATGATTTAAATAATACAAGATAAGGGTATTTTTGATATTATATAATGTTTAACTAATAGAGTACTAGTGAATGAACCCAATTATCTATTTTTGAGAATTTACTCAGTTGCAATTGACCTAAAAGATCATATGGCAATTTCCAGGTCCACAAAACAAATGATTCATAATGGAAGATCAATTAAATAAAACATATGCAAACTATAGGGAGTATTTTAGTAATATACAAGCTATAGCGCAGGTTTAAGTAAATGAGTTAAATTATACGGGTGTCTAAATAAATGACCCTATTTTTAAAATTTCAAAGCACGAGAGACGTGGTTTTATTATCCACCGTAAAAGGATGGTTTCCTCCTTTAAAAGAACAGTCTTTTCCTGTGTAAACGTGTCATGCAGGAATAACCCTATTGACAGCTCAAACTGGATAGCCAAATCTTTTTTTTTCCCATTGCGCTGGCTGTCGTATCGCCGGACAAACCAGTGAACCACTTTTGCTTCGACATTATTTTAGCGCTGTGCTAAAAGCCTAAAACAAGAAAGGCCTCGTTTGGCATGTCGGAGCAAAAGCCTAAAACCATGTCGGAGCAATAGCAAGAGTATCAGCGAAGAAGAATCCCGTAACCGTAATAGAGAAAAAAAAATCAAAAATAGGAAAACACCCAAAAGAAAGAACAAAGAAAGGCCAGAGCAGAGGAGGGAAGAAAGAACAGTTTTGTGATAGAGCAGAGCTATACGATTCTAAGGCCCTGAGTTCCGAACGACGATGGACATTGAGGTCGACGAGAACGAACTGAAGGCTGCTGGTGCCGAGGTACTGCCCGATGGACGGCGCGGAGTGCGCATCCATGGCTGGGAGATTGAGTCACGCAAGCGGCCCATTCTCAACTCCATCAACCTTCACCGGTAATTTTTCATCTCTCTCTCTCTCTCTTCATCCGTATATGCTTTATTTACGAATATGTCTGCAGGTGGGAACAGAAGCTTCAGACAACCCACTTACCGGAGATGGTTTTTGGAGAGAGTTGTCTTGTTCTTTACCACGCGAATAGTCGCGTTAAGATTCATTTTAATGCGTTTGACGCTCTCATTGGATGGAAGCAAGAAGCTTTACCACCAGTTGAAGTCCCTGCAGCAGCAAAGTGGAAATTCAGAAGGTGTTGTGGATATGTGCATATTTCTTCCTTTTGGATCACATCTTAGTTGGAATCATGCATTGCTATATGACCAAAAGCTGTATGCATGTAAATGAAAATCAGTGTAATAAAAAAGGACAATGGCTAATACTTGATTCCATCATGTTATAAGAGGGGAGGGGAAAAATATCAGAAGGTTTACATATTTTGCAAACTTCGCATCCTCATTTTAGACAGAGATGTTCACTAACGTATGATTAGCTACCTCATTTTTTTTCCTCTCAAAGAGGATAATGATTTTTTTTTTTTTCATAGGCTCAGTTTGGAAGGAGTACACAACTACACATACAAATATGTACGGTACAAATACATACAAAATAATACAAAATACAAGGTTTTGCGCTCTACACATTTGTATTTGTACTCCTTCCAAATGTAGTCATAAAGACAATATTCATTGATATTCCAGCATTATGTATCAACCTCTCTTAAATCTATTAAAACTCAGTAGACACATGTAAGGGTTCTACTGGACTATTAGTTGATATAGATTTTACGGATCCAATGAGTTAAGTCCCCGGGAACCTCCCAAAACACGTTTCCTATTAGGTCTACTAAAACCTAATCCAAATTGAATAAAAAACCATGGTGGACCTACATACTTGGATGGCACACCCTAGTTATGCTTCTTTTTTTTTGATCAATATACCCTAGTTATGCATCTAGTCAAGAGTCAAACTTCTATATATATATATTTTTTGATGAGAATACTTGTTGAGCCAATGCACAAAATCTATCAACTTTTTGATTCTTCTACTTTTGCCTGGCCTAAAAAGATAGGAAGGACTATGTGGAGGTGGGCTAGAGCAGCTCTGTTATGGACCACTTGGGATGAAAGGAATGCAGGAATTTTCCAAGAAAAGGAGAGAAGATTACAAGATATAAAGGATTGTGTGCTAAATAGAGTAATTCATTGGTTGGAAACTTTGGAGAGTTTCAATCAATTTTCCTATGATGATCTGTGGAGGAATTGGTCTACTGTGGCAAGGTGCTCTTCCAAAAAGGAAAAAGGTATGGGTGAGTTGGACATCGCCTCCTAAAGGTTATTTAAAACTAAATTTTGATGGAAGCAATCAAGGTAATCCAGGCCCATCTGGAATAGGTGGTGTATTGAAAAATGAGGCGACGAATGTTCTATCCTTTTTCTCGAGCCTGTTGGAGTTGGGGACTCTACAAGGGTTGAGTTGCTAGCAGCTATTCAAGGAGTACAGATTGCAAACCAGCTGGCATGGATTGGAGTCTCTTCTGATTGAAGGGGATTCCGAGGTTGAAGGACTCAGAATCTGTTACTTGCTGCTATAGGAACGAAATCAAGAAATTCAAGTGGCTTACACAGAATATGAATATAAGAATACAGTGGGTGGGAAGATCAGAAAATGCATTGGCTGATTGTTTAGCCAAGCAAGGGATAAATAGGGAACATTTGTTTTGGGCTCAGTTGTGATTTGATTTATGTATTAACTTCTGTATTTGGAGAGGACACAGCTCGCATCTCTCCTAGGGATGCTTGTTTTGTTTTGATCTTTTGAATTAATTTATTCCTCATTATAAAAAAAGCACAAAATCTAGCTTGTGTATGTGCATAGGATGGCACTCTTTTGCTTCTCTGACTGACCTGAAATCTGAAAGTAGGTGGTAGATTCATAGGATAGAACTGGTACATATCCAGGCAAATCAAACAGTTGGATAAAAAAGATGCACACTCTTGAATAGAACCCAAAACCTGGAACTGGATATTATTGTGGAAGCAATCAAACCACCAACTTCTTGTTTACACTTCTTTGACATGGAAGTGAATTAATTGCATTTGCATCAGTATGTGATTTAAGTAATAATCTTGAGAACATGAAGACCATTGATAACCCATGAAGTAAAGCAAGCCATAGCCATGGATATTACTTTTGTTCTACCTAACAACACAGGCTCCTTATAGTGATCCTGGCATTGGCACAGCCTTTCTGAAAATGATAAGCCAAATTACCATATCCAATGGCTGTCTGCTCCCCTACATTGTTATGTATCTCTTCATTTTCTGCTCTCCCTTTCCACAATGGTATTTCAACACGGATTTGGTCCTTGTAGAGATACTAGCATCCTGGTCAAATTTCAAAGGCCAGCCACATGGTTTAGGTCAATGGAACCACTGCACCTCAATTACTTCTGTGGTAATACATACGTGTTACTTGTAGTTCTCTTCTAAGTTGAGAAAAGAATTAGTAGCTTTGTCTGCCTTGTATAATCTGCACTTTAGAGGCAAGTCAAACCCTTTAAAGTTCAAACATCTTTATTGCTTTGAAACGCATGGATATTTCTAAGGAACTGATTTGGCACATCCCATTTTTGACAAACTAGGCAAATCCCTAGTGAAAAGACAAAGAAACCATTGTTTTTGTGATAAAAGTCAAAAACATGGGGCGTGCTTTAGTCTTTTCAAACGTATGCTTCTTGTCTCATAATTATGGGCATGTCCCCTTGACCAAAAAAGGGATGTACCTAAGTTCTGTTTGTTTGGAATGCAATTTCATTTGTACTAGTAAAAATGGATGGGAGTGCAAATGAGAATTTTGCAAATTTTGGTTTGTTTTTGCCTCAACTTTTAAGTTATTTTGCTTTAGTTTTCATTTTACTTCATATGCATTGCAAACAAACAAAATAAAGTGAAACCTATAACAAAATTAAATGCAAATTGGACTCCAACTCATTTGCACTTCCATACTTTTGCTCCAATGCAAATGAAATTGCAGTGGAAACAAACAAGGCCTAAATGATTTCCTTATTTCTATTGTTATTCATTATCATTATATTAGATTGTTCAAATCCTGTTCCCCTCATGGAAAGAATTGAGTATCCAATCTCACATATTATTCATGGATTTGCAGCAAACCTTTCCAGCAGGTTATACTTGATTATGACTATACTTTCACAACTCCATATTGTGGAAGTGAGATGATTGACATAAACCTGGAGAAGGTGAGAGACAAGACAGCCTATTAATTAATGTTCAGTTTTTCTGCATTGATCTACACTGCTTTCATATACTTCATTCCTTGAATTTGAAATTTTTAGGGTGAGGGATGGGTCATGAACAAACAAATCCATGTAATTTGTTATGCTAATAATGTTTCATGCTTACTATTATTTGTATTTGTTGGTACTGATGTTATTTTCCTGTTTTATCATTTCATGATCAGCATCTAATGGGGGCCACCTCAGAGGAGGGGGGCTGTTGTTTGCATTGGGAAGACTCTGATGAGCAAATTGATTTGGTTGCGCTTGCAAATAAAGAGCCTATTCTCTTTTATGATGAGGTGTTTACTCAGACACAATTGTGATTAGAGAAACATAATTAACCGGTAACCCATATTTTGCTATTTCTTATTCTTATTGCCTCTTCCATGACTTAAGTCAACAGGTGGTCTTATATGAAGACGAATTAGCTGATAATGGGGTGTCTCTATTAACTGTTAAAGTGGTAACTTTCCATTTTTAACCATTTATTTATGAAGAGATTCTGTTTTTCTTTTGTGCGAAGTGTTTATATAATGAACAGGATGTACCTATTGTTTCATAATCTTTGCAGAGAGTCATGCCAAGCTGCTGGTTTCTACTGCTGCGTTTCTGGGTGAGTTAATCCCCCTTTCCAGGATTTCATTTCTTCCTTGGGTAGGCAATAAATCTCTTCTATAGTTTCTTTTCCAATGTCTGAACTGTTCTGGCCCAGGGTCCTTTGGTTTAATAAAACGAACTGAAACATTGGAAAAAAAGAAAAGAGTTTTCAAGAAATAAGTGAAAATAATCAGTGGATCTCTTTTCTTCTCTTTCTTCAGCTCATGTGGGTCTCTGAATTTTCTTGTTAGACATTGAATCCATTCTTTTCCACAGCTTAGAGTTGATGGGGTACTTGTGAGATTAAGGGATACTAGGATGTATTGTGCTTTTGAGAGCAAAGCCAGCCTCAGCATCCTACGAGAGTGTTGCTGTAGAGAAAACTCCTTTCAAGCTTTATCTGCAGTAAGTTTATGAACCCACTGTCCTAATCTTTTCAAGCATGTTAATGAATTCCATTTAAACTGGACTGCAAAACACCAGTTGTTCATTGCTATTTCCTCTTTGGAGTTGTGCTTGTGGTTTTGTTGAATTATGGAGAAGTTTGAATTAGGTTCCACCTAAAAATATGGCATTTTTTTATTGATAAAACAAAATTTTGTGTCCATTTTATATACATAATTTATTATAAAAAATGATACACAAAATTTGGTTTCTTTCCTAGCACCCCTTTTTGATAGCCAGTCCCTACTACCTATCTCTCTTATTCCACTCATATGGTATATGTTATTCCTCTCCCCTGAGAGGCAATCCTCTAGTAAAGCATAAATCTATTTGCTCCTTGTTTTGCCAAAGCATTAGTCATACTATTAGCTGATCTTTGTGTCCATTTATAAGGTAACTCTTATCTCCCCAACTAGAGCCTTTGCTACCTTCAAATATACATCTGTATTTCCAAGAGCCTGTGGTGTTTCTGAACCACCCCAATACTACCTTTGAATTCCCTTCCACCACTAACTCTGTGGGGTTTAGTGATTTGGCCAATCTCAAGTCTTGTAGTACTAGCAGTTCAGCCCTTATAGAATCACCATAACTTGCAGACCCAGAAAGGAAAGCCATGGTTACACCATGAAAATTCCTAAAAATTCTCTCAATTCCTGAAATCCCTGGATGCCTAGGCTACTTCCATCAAGTAGGCTGCATTGATGATGGAAAATGAAAGTGAAGAGTGATGGTTTTAGGGTTATAATGGCCGACGTTATGCTCTCAAATGAATGATCTATTTATATATTAATACAATTATTGGAAGTTACATGAACACCCTTCTTGGGGTTGTACATTTAGTGAAATCTGTTAGTGAAGGGGTATTTCGGTCTTTGTACCTGTTGAGAATGYTRATGTGTRCTATTATGTTAGTTCGAGTGCCTCTTACTTAAATAAGGGCACTTATGTCTTTTCCAATTATATTAATAATATAATAACAGGTCTGGCCGAAACTAGGGTTGACTTTT